ACTCTGTTAATTTCACTAGAGATGCTTAGCGATGTCATCATGAAGCTTAAAGCACTGGAAGTTACCTATCGTTGTCTTCCAATGCTTTCATCAGACAAAACAGCTCCGTGTCGTTCTTTATGACATGGTCTCGGCCTCGTTTAGTGAACATGGGGTCGACCTGTCGGATGTAATCGCTGTCTTCATCATCGCTATCACGACTCCATCCCCGGTCACTATCATCATCGGTCCAGCCATCGCGCTGCAGGTCAAATAAATGTGCATCCTGGTTCCGGTAGATTCTGGTGTGAAAGGGGCCGCCTCGACTGTAATTCTCCGCAAAAAGCTTTTTCTTGCCCTCGTAGATACTGTGAGATTTAGCAGGAGCACTGTGGGCAAGATGTAAGTTGAACGTACTCCAGCTTGAGCTTCCCGTGTTGGTCCATGAGTCTGTTGCATACAATTAGCATGCTGCGACCGAACACATTCCTTTCTTCTTACGCCCTTCCCATCTTGTAGAGGTCCAGCAGCTGACCCCGCTTAGTCGCATTAAGACCCCAAAACCGGTGGTCGGTCGTCATTTTCATCGCACTTCATGAGATCAGCAAGATGCGATGCATTATCATGTTATCGACTCCTTACCTGCGCGGTTGCTCAGCCATTGAAAGTTCAGAGCCTGACGGCTGCAATGCTGTTGTTCGTTCTATCACAGAATCGTAAACAGATAAACAAACAAATAGAAAATACAGAGGGGAAGGTACGCTAATGTATGCTGTGCCGGCCTAGGCACCAGCGTGACATGATTGGCCTACGCGAGATGCGGGGTGAGCGCGTGATCACATGATTATCCTTCTGCCTAGGACATTTGCAACTCCAAAGCATCCTCCAACAGCAAATATAGACAATACCGGGCCTATAAACGAGATTATGAAACTACGGGAGATATGTGCTGTGAACTGGCTCCAGATGCACCCGAGCCTGCTCTTACTCCACAGCAAATCATGCAGACGCACCTACGGATGCGTCAGGAGTTCTTTATAGACTTCTCCACGACATATATGTTAATAGGCCCCAAATACATGTCTTCGGCTTCGTTAATAGAAGACCTGGTTGATGATGTTAGGTACCAGGATCTTGTTGTAGTAATGCCCGGCTAAAAGGTTTAGGAGGTCGGGCAGAGGCTGCTCGCGCGGGTGTGCGTTTGAGAGGGCTGCTTGAACAACAAGCGAATAGGACTCTGTATACACGTAATGAAATAAGGCCTCGCGATAAATAATGCCTTCAAAATTCTGTCAGTAGAGTCAGCATGTTATCAAAGTCAAAACCACATCGTTACCGGTAGGCAGGTGGACGTGCCTCCTTCCAAAACCTCTGCCACGGCCACTTCCTCGCCGAATACCAACATCCAAAAACCAGATTGGAGCATACACTGCGTCCACCACGCGCCAACACCGCGCCAACACAACCGTGTCGAACGTTTCGCTTGCCCATGCCCCATCATCCCACGTTTCACGCCAAGCCTCAGATCACGACATAGCGCCGATTTCCTTTCTCACACACAACATCCGTAGACCTGTCTAAGTTTACCCTACCCACTACCCTGAAATTCCAACAATCATTATCATAGCCCGTACATCCGTTCCCTGTTTCGCGGCTGCACCAGTATCCGTTTCGCATCCTCCTCTGATCCCAAGTAGCTTGCTGCGCCACACCCTAGACCGTCACCAACAACGGTACCTAGGTGCAGACCGTCTCAGGTACGGTGTCAAGTCAAGCTTTTCTTTGGCTGGGATTTAAGGTTGCGCCATTTCTGGGCGGCACACGGCGACAGCGGAGGAAGATGCACCGCCCCATACGGTAACACGGGATATAAGCGTTAGGGTGAATAAATAGGTGGATCGCTAACCGATACGATACGGCTGTACGCCCAACCGTAACGAAAATGGCTCCGGGAAGTCTGTGGGCGCGACGCGAACTGTTATGGTTCGCTTGATCAGAAGCAATAGTGGTGGCGCTAAGTGTCTGGATATAGACGAGACGAGATGTTTCGAGGCACAGAGAGATCTAACCTTGGGCTCACCGTTAGTCGAAGAAACACTTGATTTGGTTTGATGTGAGATAGTTACAGTTGACGGGGTGAGAACGCCTGGCAGCTTATTTCCCTCCTCCGTTGTAATACAAGTGTAACCCCATCTTTCCCTTTAATTCAGGCCCCACGTAATTCCTAATTACTTACCACCTAACTTAATCACTACACATAATGCGCTTCTGTTTCTCAACACTCCTCGGCCTAATGGCTTCTCTCGCTGCCTCAGCACCGACCGGTAATCCAGACTTCTCACCGGGCAGTGTCTACTTCCCGCTTGCAAACGGCTTTCCGAATCCGAATCCACAGGCCATACTCCAAATACAAAAGGATGGCCATGGTACACTACCTAACGGCCCGCCACCACCTACAATCAGCCCTGATGGCGTCATAAACCTCAAACTGATTGCGCTCAATGAACTCTTCGAGGTAGCCTTCTTCAGCGAACTCGTCTTCAACCTGACCAATAAGGTGGACGGCTACAACCTCGGACCTGAACATGATTACGTCCTCGAATCCCTAGAAGCAATCGTGGCGCAGGAGGAGATGCATGTATTGAACGCGAATGAAGCATTAAAACACTTCAACCAAGTCGCCATTGAGGGCTGCAAATACGATTTCCCCGTCGACGATTTCGCCAGCGCTATCGATCTCGCAGCGACATTTACTTCGATTGTCCTAGGTACGCTACAAGATGTGGAGCAACTCTTTGCTCGCTCGCAGGACCTCGATCTCGTCCGCGCCGTGGCTTCGGTGATCGGCAATGAAGGTAGCCAGGAAGGTTTCTTCCGCGTCATGCAAAGAAAAATCCCGTCTGCGCAGCCCTTTAGCACAACGGCAACACGCGATTTCGCATTTACAGCGATCCAGGACTTTGTCGTGGAAGGAAGCTGTCCGAATATCGATACTATTCCGCTCAAGCGCTTCAAGCCTTTGGCTGTCGAGACAAAGGACATCAAGCCCGAAACGCAGAAGCTCAAATTCTCCTTCTCCATGGAACATGCGGGAATGTTCGAAGTCGCCCAGCTCAAGCTCGTGCTGATCAATGGGCAGAACATGCCGGTTGTGCGTGGTCTTGAGGATGTGAAGATGGTGGACAATAGGGTCGTGTTTGAGGGCGAGTTTCCATTCGACGAGTTTGTCATGGATGGGTTGACGATCGCGGCGATCACCATGGGAAAAGATACGTTTGCGAATGCGAATGAGGTCGCTCAACAGACGGTATTTGGGCCAGGAATCATTGAGGTGAATTGAGGACGACGAGTGGTTTTGTTTGCACATAGCGACGGCGTTGGTGGGTTGTATTCTCCAAGCTTCAGTTTGCGTTCAGAGTACGCTTATGAAGTAATGTAATGTATGCTGTAGCTCTACCAAAGCTTAACCAGTGCCTTTATCTGCCGATGTCTCGTAGTTATCATGCCTGAAATCTGTTTTGGGGTTGCTACTATAATTGCCTTGTAGGAATCGCTCGAGAAGTCCTTATATCCACGGTTTGCCGGAAGCTTTGCAAGAATTCGCGCAGTGTACTAGGCATATTTGGCTGATACCACAAGTCCATGATTTCCATAATGTACCCCTCGTCCGGCTCACGATTGCGGTTCATGTAGAGTAGTGCATTGCCCAGCGGCATGACCATGGCCATTACACCCGTGATGCCAAATTTCTCCTGTAAAAAGTAGCCTACTGACTTTATGATCATCCTAGCGAACGGTCGGGGGTGAGGACGATCGGGGTGCGATAGAAGGGTGTCAGTAGTAGGATCGATACCAGAGGCGATGTCAAGGGCAGAGTATAGGAAGAGAGATGCTAACCAATAGCGGACTGTGATACAGGCGATATCGATGTTGGGGAAGGTTATCGGTGTGGATGTATCGATAATTTTAGGGATGTAGATGGCGTTGGCTTCGGTATCAACCCATTCTTGCAGCTGAAAGTGTAGTGTCCAACACCTTGATAATGTGTACACTTGAAGCCCTTCTCTGTCTGCCTCTTTCATAGGTTCGAATTGAAGTTTGTCAACCGCCTCTAATAGCTCAGGTATATCACAGAGGATATCGAGGAGATGGTCGTTCGATGACTTGGTCCTTCCCTTCCAAGGTAGCGTCTTCCACTCTTTGTTGTTGAGAATCGTGGATGTTCGACTTCGGAACGCCGGCCATAGGAGCCTGTATCTGGCATGAACAAAGATCGCATGTGCTGCATCGCTCTTGGAGAACGCTTCAGGTCCACGATTGACGATCATGGCCAATTCGCCTTCGACATGACTCAACCAGCTCTTTGCTTGGCTGGCTGACTCTGGCTCCGCGCCAAACATCAGATCGAAGAGAGCCATGACTCGGGGCACAACAAGCATTGATTCGCTAGCGACTCTAGTAGGATTCCGCAGGGCTACTGCTGTTTCTCTAAGCGCTCTGCCGTAAAGTGTCCTTCCCTGATGGGTAAGAGCCTCATTGTCTGTAGTCACACCAAGTTGCGTTATACCAACCGCTAGCGCAGCCATCTGAAGTGCTTGGTTGCGTGAACTGAGCAAGGGCAACATGCTTACAAACTCTCTTGCATCTGCGTTAGTCGCCCGAACGACGCCCTGTGGATTATAAATGCGGAGAAAGGTCGCCATAGTCTTCTCCTGATAAGCAGATCTAGCAAGGCTGTCCGGGAGCATGATTGACACTGGGTTCAGACGGGTGTTCCGTATTCCTTGATTGCAAGCGGGTCTGACACAAACCATCTGCGTGTCATACGGATGTGGCTTCTCGGAAGATATTTTAGTGGTCGCTGGTTTGCTGGCTTTTGGTACCAAGCTGTTTGAGCCACCGCTCTGGTAGATAAAGATGCGATCCGAGTCGTACCCTCCACATTTGATGCCTCTTTCTTTGCATTGTCCGCACTCTGGCGTTGTCAGGTCGCACTAGTATACATTAGCCTTCCCATTTCAACCTTTGACTTGATAAAGTGCCCACTCACGCCTTTCTTTCTTTTCCGGCACGTCACACATCCTTTCGAACGTCCAGCAACGCCAACCATGTTGGATGGCTATGCTAAGTCCAGAGGATGGTCTAGTGGGCCACTGCTGCAACCTGGCGCAGAATTTTCCCTTTATGGAAAGAAATATCAAGCGTCCTCGCTATGACAGGGCTTGTGAGAAGTTCCCAAGGCTGGCAGCGTATTCGTCGATGACGGTGCCTTGAGTGCTTGGAAGTCGATGGGGGCCACTGCGACGTGCGTTCGTGATAACTCCGGACCCTCTTTGTGCTAAGTCCGACCAATGATCACAAGCTACGTTTAACCCCTTTAGGCTGATTCTGCGACGGAGCCGGGCTAACTATCAATACCGCTTCAATGTTGTTCAATGACGGGCTCTTGGCTTCGAAGAAGACCCATCTATCTCTTGGAAACTCGCGTAGGCGGACTTGCACTGCCTGGGGACGCGATTAAGATCGCAGTCAACGATCATAGATTCATTAAGCAGATCGCCTGGTCGCGCGTACGACGTTGCACGGATGATCTTCCATGCACGCCGATTTTGTTGCTGACATGACTCGCGAAACATTACCACGGCATGAGTACCGTCGCGAAATCGACCCGATTCGGTATAGACATGGAATCAAGAAAGAATCAAAGTAATGTGTATATGAGGGCATATCTACTAGAGAGATGGCATATCCTCCAACAAGCAAAACCATTCTCACACAGAACACGCCTTCGCAAGTTCCATTGGCCAAAACTACCAATAGATCTTGAGTCTCAATCAAAGGCATGGCAGTATCACCACCTGCGACCGGCGCTTTCGCCCGCCGCGTTGTCAATCCATTCGGTTTCAATAAGACTTACAACTTCTGGTTGTACATTATCTTTGGGGGCGCCCTTGCAGGATGTACGTCTTCCCATACACAATTCCAGTATATATCATTGACAATCTACGAACAGTTTCTCTCGCACGACTCAATTACCTTGATTTCTATGGAACCTTTTGCCCCGCCACCGGAGGCAACGAAAACTGGAACAGCGCTGCTCCAGGAGAATGCTACTACTACCTCAAGTACGACAAGTACAGAATCGGTATCATGATGCACCTCGCTGGTGTACTTCCAGCGGGTTTGATCGCGGTATCACAGTTCACGCCGTTCATCCGCCGACGCTGGATCATCGTGCACCGTATTGGGGGATACGTCTCGCTTCTATTGTACTTGGTTGGCATGATAGGAGCGTTTATGATAGCGCGGCACTCATTCGGCGGCGGCCTGGACATCCAGTCTTGGGTTTGGGTCGCAGGCTTCTCTACTCTCGGTTGCTTCATCATCAGCTATATCAACATCAAATGCCTGCAGATTGAACAACACCGCGCCTGGATGCTGAGAGGTTGGTTTTATGCTGCCAGCATCATTACGGCCCGCCTCATCGTGGTAATCGGCGCCATTATCGTTGTCGAGCAAGACTATTACATCACGTGGCCTTGCGCCAAGATTGCGGCTACCATTGTGGAAGAGGTTGACCTGGCGAGCTTGTATCCTACTTGCAAGGCCTTTGTCGATGGCTCAGATCCAGAGGCAGTCGCATCTGTGGCAGCGAAGCTGTTTGGAGGAAACGCGGCAAATACGGGAGCAGCGCTCAATATTGTCTTCGGAATGGCTCTGTGGGTTTCCTTTGTTGTGCATGCCTTTGGTGTGGAGGTCTATCTACATCTCACGCCGAGAGAGGCCCATCGGCTGAGAGAGATCAGTTATCAGAAGCAGCTAGAAGCAGGAATGTGTAACCCAGGATCGGCGGGTCTGACTGCGGATCGGCTGGGAGATGCAGACAAGTGGGTTCCAAAACTGCCCAAGAAAGACAACACGAACACATCATTAACCACAGAGATAGGCCCTAAGTCAACGATCAAGAACTAGTAATTATATTCTGCTTTGTCTTAATCATTAGCGCATTCATATGGTGTTTGGGCGTTGGGGAGTTGGGGGAAGAGAGATTCAGCATGTTGGGCAGGAAGGATAGTTTACGGTTATTCATAGCACCCGGGTGACATGAAATACTTGACAGTATGTGCAAGCACCTAAGAGACGTATCTGGTGCCTACAGTGATAGTTTTTGCATCAGTATGTCACGTATCTTATCTCACCCAGGTGATAGTCACATATACAGAGCCACATATCATCAAATTTGCCATAATTCTATCATTTCGTGTATCGTTATGAGTGTACTTGTCAAAAGAGGTTGCTCACCACGGTAGCTGAAGAGGCGTGGGAAGCTTGTCCTTGGGTCCCAAGACAGGTTCGGCGGTTCCGATATCCCTAATATTCTGATCAGCTTTGTGCTATGACTAGGAGATATATCGATGCTTACCCAGCTCCTCTAGGAGCCCAATATTGACCCGTCTTACTCATATCAAAGGTCTCAATCCACTCTATGAGCGTTTTTGCAGCAACGTCGGGTGTGACGGCCCCTCCTTCATCCCAGTACTTGTCAAATCCAACGTTACGGGTCATCTCTGTCCTCATAAAGCCAGGATGCACGGTACATATTGCAACACCCCTATCCTTCAAATCCAAGCTTAAAAGCTTCGCAGACATGTTGAGCGCTGTTTTGCTGGCATGGTGTCCATAATTGCCACCACCTTCGGACTTATGCCTCAGTGTTATACTGCCACTCTCAGAGGAGACGAGAATGACCTTGGATGTCGAGCCGAGGAGCTTCTCGTCCTTGTTTGCAAGTGTTGTGACAAGTATGGTAGGGCCGATAACGCATGTGCGGTACATGCGCTTCTGTGCAGAGTAAGACGGCTCTTTGAGAGATTCGATCGCGAAGTATCCAGCTGTAACTATGACGATGTCAAGGTGTTCGATCCCGTGTGCTTCCAGGAACTGGACGAGGTCGCGGCCAGCATCTGGGGACTCGAGGTCGATCTTGGGGACATACGAAATGTTCTTTGCTAGAGTGGACTTTAGAACTCAAACGCACATATCAATTGGATCGTAAGAGTCTCTATGTTCTTACTGTTTGCAGGAGGTTCCGAACTCCTTGCTGTCGCTATAACGTGGTTGTTGGCATCCGTTGCATACTCTTGCACGATGCTTGCTCCAAGGCCGCGAGTGGCGCCTACAACGAGTATATTAGGCATCCTGCTATTCTAGAAGGCTCAGATTGCTTGGGAATCGTTTGAGAATCGATGTGTTTGATGTCGTTGAAGTTCGTTGATGACGTTGTCTTGCGTGCTCACCTGGGGTAAGATAAGCTAAGCTCACCTTGGAAGTTGCGTCTTCCAAGGTTGGTTCGCGTAAAGACCAAAGAAGCCCCACTACCCTGTGCCTTCATCTCAGCAATCCTCCCCATCATCTCCTGTTGCCTGTATCTCAGTGGAATTATGATAAACGCGCAACGCCTCTATTCTCACATTCGTTTTTGGTATGTAGGTATCATAGCCCCCTTCCTCTCGAAAATGGCGATTGTCCAGCTATTGCATACCTACCTGGCGCATACAAGAGACGTATTACATGCTACCTTTGTCCTGAAAGCGATGCTTAGATACATTCAGAGCTGTAAGTGAATTCACAGTATAGCAGTAACCTAATCGGAAGCACAACAACTCACTCCGCAGCGACATCATCATCATGAAAATCTGGGTCCCACATTCCCTCGTCAGCACCAACTACATTCGATTATGTGACGCGATCGCATTCATCATTCCAGCTATATACACCAAAACTAAAACCCTTTTTCACTAGACACACCCACCTTCTCTACCCAACGACTTCCTCACAAAACCTAAACGTCAACTCCTTCACCCTTCCCACGCCCTCCTCCCCAAAAATCTCACATCTAACAACCTCATAAGCATCCGTCTCATACCCTCTCAGCGCATCCTCATGCCCTTCACACCCAACAACAAACATCCACCCCTTGACCTCATCCCCTCTCTCCCATCCACCAACCCCCCGATATTTCCCCCTCATCTCCACCCTCGCTCTCCGCACCTTCGCCGGCGTAAGCTGAGGCCTTTCCTCGAGACCCAGCAACGCTACCAACCTATCCTCATCCGCTAGTGTACCGTAGAAGAAATACGGCACAGGATACGTTTTCTGCTATGGCGCTGGTACGGCTGAGCTGGATAGGCGGTGTTGAGGCATTGTAGCGTCGAGGCCGAGCGTCGGTGCTATACATGTATCCGCCAGCGCCAGCTCTGCTGAAACGCTGTGATTGATGAAGTATATAGTTGATGGATCAATGCAGTTTTCAATAGCTTCTTTGGCCAGGATGTCGACTTCGACGAAGCGTATCGTAGGGTCTTGTTCGTCTAGTAGTATGCGCGGTGGTGTGGGTAGGTGTGCGATCTCTTGGATCTTCTCTGCGGTGGCCAGCTCATGGGATAGTCGGAGAAGCCACCGTTTTCTCAAGAGGCGCTTCTGTTACGCGAGGGGTAGAGTGGATAGCTGAGTTGGCGGCTTGGGCGATGCGCTTGCTTTGGCGCGTCGGCTGAGCTGGTAGACATAGCTCTCCCTGTCATGACCGAGTGCTTCTTGCTCTATTTGCACAGTGGCCCAGTGCTCGGCGGAGATGGCGATGCGGTTTAGGTTGGCGCGGTGATCTGTAATCTCTTCTTCGGCTTTTGAAGCGTTGAAATCGAAGAGTGTCTGCCAGCTGGTAATGTCAAGTGGAGAGACACCAGAGCTAGATGTGGTCTCGCACTTTTGCGCTAGGGATTCCAGCTCAGTGAGGAGGTCCATACTGTGTTTTGACGGCGAGGCACGTGAAGATATAAGTTATGTTTGGTGTATACCGGTGCTTTGATCTGCGCAAAAGTGTAGGTCAAGAGTGCAACGTGGAGGTATCTAACTTTTCAAGATGTGCGAGTATTGTGCTGAACCATGGATCGTCTTCTCCACAGCATCTGAAGTTACACGTGCTCACACCTCTAGTCATACACTAAACCGATAAATTTCGCTCTGAATCACATACTATATGTCATATGGTTCGGGATAACGGTCCGTGATGTCATCGTACCCTGATGTACTTCAGCGATGTGAAACTCCAAATTCGACCCGTCTCACGCGCATGTAGTCACCAACACTAACGCGCGTCTCATGATACAAAACCACCTCAGTAAGCTCCAAAAGTATCTTCATCATCGCATACGCAGTGTGAACTCATACTGTATACATTCGTGCTCAGCTAACACTATCAATTATTCCTCTTGTTCTTCTCTTTTTGCTTCTTCTGCTTTTTCTTTCCGTTGGTTTTGCCATCCCCGTCGTCCTCACTCACCCGCTTTCCATTGGCATTCGCACCCGCGCCATCCGCTTCGCCCTCTGCATTCACTTCCTCATCCTCCGTCACGAGCAGTGCATTCAGCGCATCGTTGAACTTTTCCATCTCACATATATCCCCGATTTTCACGCGCATGTAGTCAAATGCGATCGCGACCTTCATGTCCTTGTTCCTTATCTTAATCACTCGCTCACCAGTAGTAGGTTGGTGTTGCAATGAAGGTTTAGCTGGGTGTATGTCCATATTATCGGCGTTCTCGGTGGTGGGGTCAGCATCAGCTTCGTCATCGACAACGTCTTCCGTGGCATCCTCTGGGAGTAAGTTGTCTGCTTGCTCGTCTTCTACAGGTTGAAGGACCGGGATATTCTGGTAACGTTGGCTAAAGTGCGTAAGGACGACAGCTTTGGCATTCATCTTTTCACCAACACCAAGAGCTTCAGAAGTAGTAGAATGTTTCTTCGCTTTTGCGTCGCCTATCAGTTCATCGTCAAAGGTAGCTTCGTGGATGAGAACGGTAGTATCCGCTCCAACTCTACCAAAATGGTAGCTCGGTCTGCAATCACCCGAGTAGCTGACTTTGAGCGGCTTGACGTCTTCCGGGTCTGAAGGTGATCGTGGGAACGTGAATGTAACAGCCATGGAGCCGTGGCAATGTGCTACATGGGCACTTTGGATGTCTTCAAAACCCAACAGCTGTTCGAATTCCCGCCTATGAATGCTAGGGTTCTCGGATTCCAGTTTTTCAAAAGAGTTCAAGACGGATAATGTTGAGCTCTTTCCCTTTTCGTTGGGCGTGAGTTGCAGGGGGAGAATGCGGCTATATCCGAAGTCCTCGACGGAGGAGTACTCATTGAGCCATTGAAGCATGCCTCTGTGTGAGATGACGGAGAGACCATACGATTTAACATCAATGCCGTCCGTGGAGTTACCGAGTGTATGTGGATTTGGGACACTATTGTGTACCAGCTGATACCATGCTTTGATTACTGCTGCTGTGCCCAAGTGATGGTCGGCGTGCAAGTGACTTATCCAGATCATCCGCAGATTCTTTAGTACGTCAACGAACTCTTCGTGGGAGAACACTCTCGACAATTGTCCCAAAGTGTTCTCACCGCAATCAAGGAGATAGTTGCCAACGCCCGGTACCCGCACTAATGTAGCAGAGACATTGCGATATTTCGATGGTAGAGCAGACCCTGTCCCAAGAGTAGTGATCTCAGTATCGGGGCGTGCCAGCAGCTGTCTCCACTTAAGCATATCTCCGCGATGCTGTCGCAAAGATTCTTGGGCTTTTTGTGCCAGCTCAAGGACCTCAGGTGATGCTTCCTTTCGTGCTGTCTCAAGATCAAAGAGCGGCGTGGCCGTCTCCTTGTGGGCTTCAAATTTAGGCATTAGTGTGAAGGTCATACCTCGGTCAGCAGCGAAGATATTTGGTGGTAATGATGACGTCCTTGCAGGAGTGGTCCTGTGGACAGTCTTCTGCGGCACTTCGGTGCTGTCAAACACGAGCGTCGAGTACCTCTTAGGATCAATCAGGTTCAGTCGTGTAGCTTGGCCAGCGACCGAATTAAACGAAACACGGTTCGGGGCAGTATCTACGGACGAAACGAAGTGCTGTACATCGCTCAGTTTCTCCATGAATTCAGTAAGAACTGGATGGCCTGCAACACCAGGGCCCAGCATCCAAACGATGGCACGTATTCCAGTCATGACATCTGGCGAACTAAGCTCCTCTTTGCGCACGATACTTTCGACGTACGCGACCGAGGGAACATCTAGAATAGCGATACCCTGACCGGGCCTGTCGGGTCCCATGACCTGGTTTGGGTGGATCAACTCTCCTTTTGCATTCTTAACCGGAATCCCGTTTGTGAGTTTCCCATAGTCCGGTCCTGGAGTGACGCCCAGCGCTTTGGCGCTTGCGACATCAAATTGGCCACGGACGGGGTGTGATTTAACAATGTACGAGATGGCTTCCGGTGCAGGTTTAGTTGGCGGGAGAGCCAAGATTCCGGCGCCCGGCCATGGTGTCCGCGTCCAAACAGTGATGTCAGGAAGAGGATCTGAACCGCCTGGCTTTGGGCCGTGGTAAGGTTGAAAGCCTTTTGTCGCTGGGTCGCGGATGAACATGGCAGCAGGCATGTCTACCTCTGAAATGTGTCGTTCCACAAGTGTGTCAAAACTCCAATTCGAATCGAACATGAATTTAATGGTCGCTGTCCGTATTTGATCATACCGCTTTTCACGCGCTTCCGGGCTCTCATTCTCTGGAGCTTGGAACCCCGCAAATGTGTTGAGTTTGGTGTCAAAATGCCTCCGTCTTGACTCAAGTTCAGCTTCCGCCTGCGCATTGTGTTCAGAGACGGTGGGCGACACGGAAAGGGCCCAGACTTTGATCATGGAGTCCTGCCAGGTCGGCAATATAGCACCATTCTCGTCCTTCTCATGCACATGATTCCCATATTCGGTCGTGTTGATAGGCAAGCCCTTCCTGAAGATGAATCTCCGGCAAGTGCCTAGCATATGCTTCAAGTTGGGCGGTCCGTAGATGTCGAAATGCGGTTTCTGTGGGCCCCCACCCTTCTTGCCTCGCTTTTGAGCCTCGCGAAATATCTCCATAGCAGTGGTATATGAGGAGGTGCTCGAGTCGGCTAGTGTGAGCATCATGCCCATGATTCCGCCCATGTTCTTCCAATCGGCTTTTCCCGTCAAGAAGAAGTCCTGAGCCTTGAGCAGACGGACTCCCTGTTCTACCGTGGCACGCTGTGTGCCCTCTGCCATACTTCCAAACACATAGTGTTTGCTTGACGTGCGAAATATGAGCGTAGTACCGGCCGTGTCACCCGTAGGCGTGGTGATAATTTCGACACCGTGAGACATGTCGTGCCTTTTCGAGGATTGCTTCCGCTTCTCGTCAAGCCCGGGTCCGTGGAGAGGCACTACGGGGACGGGGTCGCATACAATTGCTGTCGGATGGAAGCGTAAGTCTTCTTCGCGAAGGATCTTAAACGGCGCCGGCTCAAGCACAGGACGAGACTGGGAGAAGTCGTCGCTCTTGGTACGCCCTGCTGCAAGGTTCTTCAAGGCATCCAAGACGGAATTGTGGGGCACAGACGTCTGGTGAAGGTAACAACCTGGACTGAGTATGCGCGCGTTTCTGGCCTCGAGGCTAAAGACGGCGAGTCTCGACTGCCTTATGAGTAGTCTGCTCGGAAAGCGCAAAGCGAGGAAGCGGGCATTAGTCGTTGCAGTCGTAATCCGACCAATGGCGTTTATTTGGGAAGCCAATTTGACGAAGTGAAGTTATGACGCGAGATGAGGCCGTGTACAGTCATCAGGACATGAGAGCGCGCTCAAAGTGAGTCCAAGTTGATGCGCGCGTCATTCGCCGCAATATTTTAGTTAGGCGAGTACAGAGGCCCGTGCGGCTGAGCTTGAGCGGCCTTGTTCCGCCATCCCGACACCCGGGAGACATAAAATGCTTGACATACTGGTGTACAAAGCCACTGTAGTCACCAGATGCCTGTTAAGTGCCTGCCGGTGATTATCCACGCTGTCAGATATTTTATCTCACACAGGTGCCAACTTCCCTGTTCATCACCAAGTCTGCTGATTTTGGCATTTCCAGGATAAATTCAATGTTCTTATTTCTAAGCCTAACTAGTTATACACTATCGATCATCGTCCGTACATCACCAAACCTCTCCGCCTAGCTGCTCAAGCATTCTTCTTCCTAAGTGCCCCTCCATCGACGGTAATATCCTGGCCAGTCACAAAACCAGCCTCGATGAGATACAGCGCAGCATCAGCAATGTCCTTCGGCCTTCCTGCTCTGTTGGTCGGATGATCAGACACGTCCTTTTCACTGATCTGGCTCGCCCAATCCGCCCCCTTCTCATCACCCTCTTTGCTCTCGTGCGCCACCTTGATGCGTCCAGGTGCAATGAGGTTGACCCTGATACCCAAACGACCCAAACTGATGGCCATTGAGTGCATCAGTCCGATCTGACCAGACTTACTTGAAGCATAGCCTTCCTGGTTCTGAACGTTGACGTATCCAGTCAGTATGTCTCTCACATGCGTTAGACAAGAAATACTCACGGGATCCGACTGATGTGCACGGAAAGAGCCAATGTGGATGATACATGGTCCGGCCGGGCTGGAGTTGTTTGCGTTTTGTATATGTGCGCCATGCTCAAAGTCCGATGCGCGCGCCTTCATGTAAGGTATACAAGCTTGTGACATGGCAAAAGGCGCCGTAAGGTTGGTATCCATGTACGCTTGCCATTCGTCAATGGTGGAGAGGTCCTCCATGGTCTTACCGTCTTTCCATTGTGGACTGGCAATGCCGCCGTTGTTGATTAGAACATCAATGCGGTCGTTGAAGAACTTGGCTGCTTCCTTGACTTTGGCACGGATATCCTCGACGTTGCGTAGATCACAAATCGACGATCCAAGTCTGCCGTCTTCGTAGTATTGCTTGAGGTGTGTCTTGGTCGTATGCTCAAGCTCTTCCTCGTCAATGTCCATGATGTAGGCGTGGTGGCCGGCCTCGAGCATCATCCGGGTCAACGCTCGGCCAATGCCGCGCGCACCACCCGAGATGATGATGTTCTTGTATAATGCTGGAACTGGTGGTTGGACTGCCATGTTGATGTGGGGTTGCTGTTTTAGTTTGGAGAATGCTTGCGGGGTGAGCTTTGCCTACTTGTGTTTCCCCAAGTACGTACGTTGGTCTGACGTCACGCCTCAACATTTCATTGATCGTCACTGCAGATGCTATGCGGAATTGCTTTTTCTGGATCAAACTCTTTCGAGCGACAGTTATATTGGTGCTTAGTGTACAGCGCTTGTGCCTAGGATTCAAGGCCAGGCGACTAGTGAGTAGCTCGTTGATTGAAGACGATTTGCTCGCCACCACATGTATTCTGCCAACGCACCCTCATCTGACGCCTCGCGCCCAGAAAATGTACTGACAACCTTCATCCCCAAAACATTTGATCGTGGTCGAAAAGAGTACAGCCATGTTCCAGCCCTCGGTCGGTCAGCAGGTACAACGCATTGTCCCCAGGGAGGAACAACATCCCTCAGGGCCACTGTTACACGAATCAAATATATAAGAATGCAAAACAATCCCTCCCGATTCAAGTATCTCCATATCTCACCCTTCTATTCATCTAAAGAGAGGAAACAAAGATCGGAGAAGCCGTAGTAATGCACTTCCTTACCACTGCCCTCGTCCTCCTGACCCCCTCCATTCTCGCAGCACCAACACCTCAATCCAATACGGCACCTTCTACAACTCACCTCTTCATTTGCACTGACGCATCGTTTCGCGGAAACTGCGACAACATGCAAATGGAAGTCTCATCGTGCTGTATGCCTCCCCATAGATACCACGAGATGAAGTCAGAGGACTAACGGGAACACAGTCAATATGCCGCCCACCTACTACAAGCATGTCTCATCAGCTGGGCCAGATAACGGCACATTCTGCACTCTGTACTCGTATGTACCTGCCCCAGACTGGAGGCATAGACAGTGAGCTTACATGTATAATGCAGCGAGCCAGATTGTCATGGCGAAGCGCTTCCGTTTACCTTCCCAGGAATCAAAATGCTGGGTCGTTATGGGTATGACAACAAGTTGAGTTCGGTGCGGTGTGACTTCATCGGCCCCTTTCTCAACCATCCGTAATCTTGATGCAGAGCATCCACAAACCCTTTGTCGAATTAGTAGCACAGAATGCAGATGAAGCCGTAGTCGTAAACGTTTGAATTGCATCCATAAATCTTTTATCTGAAAGTTGATGACAAAGTTCCCTCGTGACGCCTGAAAACACCAAGTACCAAGTTCCGTGCGAGTACAGGTATATGACCGCATGCATGCATGATTGAAATCAGAAAAGCGCCGTCAAACCATTACAGCTCTGGTCCCCCATTTATTGCGATCGCTGGTAGACACCGACAACCATGGCGTGGTCACGCTCGAAGGGCTCAAGAGTAAGCTGCTCCTTAGGCTTGATGCCCATCTCCCTCAGCTTGTTGACTTCCTGTGCGAAGACAGCCTCGGGGGCAGCGGTTGAGTCGATACAGTTGGCCTTGATGGAAATGACGATACCGCCGCCAACCTTGAGGAACAATCCGGCGTTGAGACCGACGATACGGGCCTGGTCAGGCTGGGCAACGTCGGCGAAGATGCAGTCGACCATGCCAACGAGCATGCGGTACTTGAGAGGGTGACTGGGAAGGTTAGCATCAAATCCCATCAAAAGCGCGAATCACGTGATGCTTACCGGGCGTCCTCGACGATGGGGATGACGTTTGTGCGGTGGGTAGCCATGTTGATCAGATCACGACCTGAGCGGTGCGAGAACTCAACTGCGAAGACGGTTCCTTCCGGTCCGACGATATCAGCAACGTGAGATACTGAGGTTCCTGAGGCGGCACCCAAGTACAAGACCTTGGAGCCGGGTCCCATGTAGATGTTGTCGACACCACCCAAGATACCTGCGGCCAACTTTGAACGGAAGGGATTCCAGACGCGGTATTCGGTGCTGGATGGGGCCTCGGTCTCGCCGTCCTTTGGTGCGGCGGTGGAACCAACGCTGATGCGCTTCTCGCCGTAAACAGATTCTCCGGGAGTCAAATTCTTGGTGACAAGGAGATCTTCTTTTCCGCGTGCGACGAAAACTCCAGCGTGGCGATGGCTGGATCCAAATTAGCGCAAGTCGCATACATGAGAATGAGCTCTACTCCACGGCTCGACAATGACTTAGCACCACCGCGCGCACCTCCACGGGCACCTCACGAGGAGCGCCCCTGCCTCGAGGAGCACCGCGACCGCCGCCACGGCCACCACCGCGGGCCACCACGGTCGCCGCCGCCGCGACCTCACCAAATCCACCGCGGGCACCACCTCTAGGAGTGAAGCACCGCGACCGCCACGACCACCACGGTCACCACCGCCACGTCCGCCTCTGTGTTGAATGTTAGAAATGCGCTGACATGTAATTGAACAAGATGTTGCGCGCTTGGAACAAAGCTCGTGTCGCGATCCAAATTCAAGATGTTAGAGCATCGTACCTGGGAGTAAAGGCCATTTCTTATCGGATCAAAGTACTTGGGGTATAATATAGGGCTGCAAAAGCTGTTGGGCAAGATTAGCTCCTGTACGCGTTGAAAGGCAACTGCAATAGAGGCTGTGGGTACGGTTGTCGCGGACGAGGTACTGCAGGAGCTTCGCGGTTGAAGTTCGAGATTTTTTTCTAAGCTCCAGACGGCTGTCCTAGCGCCCCAAGCTGCGTGGCCAATCATATCTGGGTTGGCGCAAGCGGCCCGCTACTTTTGCCGAGAGCCCACGAACTCCAGTCGCATTTTCGGTTTCGGTCGACACAACATCGTCGTCAATCTCAACTAACCACCACAGCACATCTCGACAAAATGGTACGTCTGCCACCGTCGTCTATCTATATCCTGGCGCAACACGTGCATTACGAACATGGCATTAATTCTTGCAGGTTCGCTACGGAGCAACCTCCATTGACGGCGCAAAGTCTGCCCGCGCCCGCGGCAGCTACCTCCGCGTTTCCTTCAAGAACACCCGCGAGACCGCCCAGGCCGTCAACGGCTGGAAGCTCGACCGCGCGCTCACCTACCTCGGAAATGTCTTGGAGCACAAGGAGGCCATTCCCATGAGGCGGTACGCTGGCAGCACTGGACGCACTGCACAGGGTGAGTCGCCCTGAACGAACATACGCCTGAAAGCTAGAGGGGAAATGCACTGGAAGAGGAGGATTAGGGGACTGTGGAGTGGCGTGCATGTCAGCAATTGCACGAACATACGCTGACTTGAGCAGGCAAGGCTTTCGGTGTCTCCAAGGCCCGCTGGCCCGTCAAGTCCGCTGAGATCCTCATCGGTCTCCTCAAGAACGCCGAGGCCAACGCCGACACCAAGGGTCTCAACACCGAGAACTTGATCATCAAGCACATCCAGGTCAACCAGGCTCCCAAGCAGCGAAGGCGCACTTACCGTGCTCACGGTCGTGTATGTATAACTGGCCCATATTCCGCACCCTAGCCTAACAGCCCCAGATCAACCCTTACATGTCCAACCCCTCCCACATCGAGCTCATCCTCACCGAGGGTGCCGAGGTTGTCCAGAAGGGTCCCCAGTCCCTCGAGCGCCGCATGAACTCCAGGCAGCGTGGCCGCGCCGTCCGCAAGGCCATCACCGCCCCTGCTGAGGAATAGAGGAAGCAACGAGGGAGGCGATGTTTGGCGAAGAAAACGGTCAAGGCATGGGCACGGTTTGGAGTCAATGAGCGATGAATCTTCAGGGTCTTTCACACTCATCATGTATGCATGATATGGCACTTCGATTTCTCCGGTGTCTGGTCCATAAAATAAATAGGGCCAAGGCCTGGTTCACAAACATCCAGACCGTATACGACGATGCGAAACGTGGCTGCTGTGTTGTACCTGATTGTGAAATGCTCAGAAGCCTCCTCTCGGTGCAGTTTGTTCTGCTTGCAAATCCACGTCCAATTCCAACACGACCGTTTTGCAATTTCTACCCCTGGTTTCTTTCACTTTATACTCGTTGCAAGTTGTAATCTGCGTCAGACTTTCATGAGCTATGCTAGAGACTGACCAGGGTTGTGCTAGTCTCAACTCAGTCTAGCAGCTGAGACGGCAGCTCTCCGGCAACTTGAAAAGAAAATACCAGCCATTGGTACATTCAACGGTGATCTAGACACAAAAAGGTACCGGTCCGTTTTCTGCCACTGTCAGATTGCTCGTATTCCACGCACCTCGAGTCAGGCGCAATACTTGCTGGGCTTCAATTGCTCCAGGGCTGTTGCCAACTTTGCCGTGATCGATGACGCATGCCCAGCAAGCCACCAGCGTGGCCATGTGCCTTGCCACAGAATGTGTCCACCGATAAGTAGTCATCTATAACTATAATAGACTAGGATCTATCCGCTGTCAGGTACCCTTCTCTAATCTCCACATCTCCATCTTTTCTACCCAAGTGTAGATACCTGAACTTCTGTCAACTCTCAAACTCTCATACATTCTTCGTTTACCATCATGTCTCAATTCACGCAATCCACACGCCATCGACGGCAAAGAATGCACTACATGAACGTTTTCGCTATGCTCTCAACGGTGGCATTAGCACAGGGCTCTAAACGCGGTTTCGCATATATCGGTGACTCACACACCCCCGATAATCGCCTCCTCACTACCGGCAACTCCCCACTAGCATGGTACTACAACTGGTCGCCCTACCCAAACAACAACCTCATCCCTGCCGACAGCAGTTTGGAGTTTGTGCCCATGATCCATGGCATAGACGCAACGCAAGATCCCCAGACCGAACGTGTGATTAAAGGCTTGCCCGATAGCAGCAAGCACCTCCTTACCTTCAACGAACCAGATGGAACGACTGGAAGTGGAGGAAGCAGCATCAAACCCGAAGATGCTGCAAAAGCCTACATCGACTACGTCGTTCCTTTTCGCGGTGGTTCCAGTGGAGGAAGGAAATGGCTGATTAGCCACCCAGTCACGACGGGCAGCCCAAACGGTTTGGACTGGTTACGTAAATTCAACGAATCTTGTTACGACATTGATTCAAGGAACGGTTGCCCTACAGACTTCGTCGCCGCGCATTGGTATGGAAATTTCGATGGCCTGACAAGCTGGTTAGCCACCTTGGATGAGTTTTACAACACAAACTCAACAAGAGATCAGCCATTGAAGATCTGGGTTACGGAAATGGCACTGCCACAACAGGACGACAAGAATACTGTTGCGATGATGAACCAGACACTACCGTATCTTGATGGCAAGGATTACGTTGAGCGATATTCGTGGTTCGGCGCATTCAGGACCGGCGATGCGAATGAATGGACCGGCGACAGCGTCGCATTATTCGACAATAAGGGCGGTTTGACTGAGCTTGGAGCGTTGTACCTAGGTGATGGTTTCAAGAAGGGGGAGAAGGGTGAAGGTGAGGACAATGCGGCGAGTGGGTTGAAGTTGAGTGTTGGATTGATGACTGCACTTTCGATGTGCGCGGCAGTTTTTGCCATGTTCTAGATGAATATCTTCTATGTCTTTAGAGCGGATACCCAGATCATTTGTACATATAGTTAACGCGTAGTAACGAAATATTACAACATTTACGTGTAACTTACCTCCGTATTTTCTCTTAAAACATCTTGCGTCTTGTTTTGCAAATCTTGGGGCTTTCCGTACAGTCCATGCGATCTTTCCAGTGCGGAGAGAGCATAGTCTTCTTACATTCTTCTTCTTCGTTCGATTATTTCGATCCCTTTATTCCAAGTTTCGATATTGATGCGAAATCCCAATCAATATAATGAACTGCCGTACAACCAGGGGTAATTTAGTCACTCACTTGCATTGTGACGAAGCGCCGGTACTTCACTTAGCTCACCCACTATAGTAACTGTAACCCTAGGCGTTTAAGCGCGTCACTCTGAGGCTCGCCACGGACCATAAAACACAGCTGGTCGTGAAATTTCCCTACAAAACTAATCAAAGAATCAACTTCGGCCTCTCAACCACCCTTGTACTAAACAGAACTCAGTCACTTGCTTGGACGAAAAGCATCTATCAATCTTCCAAACCCACCAACGCCCTAGCAACCTTGGAACCATGGCCTCAAATCTTAAATCGTACGGCAATCCGGGCCCACGAGCCCCAGCTGCCATACTGCGCCAATCAAAGCGTTAAAGGGAAACCCGCCGGGCCGGCAAGCCAACACCTCAGCCTCGCACTTCTCTCCAGAATACGAACTGCCACCTTCTTCTCACCCGCCTCTGGTTGAACAACCCTCAAACTGTCTCCGATCAAGACCCCTTCATCATTCACTCCCGCGACAATCTCATCCCTGGCTTCACTGGGCCCAAGGACTGGACTGAAGTGGCGCGGGAGTTCAATGAGCGACTTCGGGGCAAAATGAAGAAGCCTTTGGCGCCAGGAACGATGAGTAATCGATGGGGCATTGCGCGAAAGGTCTTTGCACGGGATAATCCCGAGTATGCGGAGGCGTGCAGGTAGCCTATACCGGGGGACTTGGAGGATGAGTACGAGTATGAAGATGAAGAGGAGGACGAGGAGCAACAGTATCAAGACGTGCATTCGGACAGATGGACGAGGGGCCCTATGGATCCGGACATTGATGCCTATTACAACCGTCATCGACCAGCGCCTTTCTATCAATATCCCGACCCTCGTTTCAATCTTCCCCCGATTTTCTCCTTCCTTCCAGCCAACAATCCCGCCACACTCCAACTCTCACCCCAACTTATACCCAAAAAGCCACCCACTTCAACGCGTCCTCTCATTCCAGGCTCCTACAACCCCTCCGCCATTCACTCAACCTCGATCTCATCCCTGAGCCGCATAAAGTTGCACCTTCGCCACCGCACCTACGAGCCCGTGACCTTTTACTTCCCCTCACCCGACCAGGACAATCTCAGAGAATTCAGCCAAGACGTTGACGCCAACCTCCTGATGGCCGTCTCCCCCGACTATGCCACCCGAGCCCGAGTAGATCCGGAAGACACCGCCTTCGTCGTACCCGCACCCTTTACAGCTCGCACAGTAAACATCTTCATCTTCTTCGAGCGCGAGATGGGGGTCACGTGGATTGTGGATATGGTTGTTGATCAGCTGCTCTTCCTGTTCGATCGGCAGTGTAAGAACAAGGCCGCGCTTAATGATATAGGACATCCGGTGAATGGGTATGTTAATGCCCGTGGCCGGAAGGTGTTTCTGGGGTACAAGCTACCCAATATAGACAAGCCGTTGCCCACGCTTTTGGTGGATGACTTTTGGATGGAGGTGTTGCAGCGCTTTGTAGGTGGGACGAAGGATTTGGATGTTGCGACACTGAGCTTTGTGGGCGATTTGATGAACGGGCTGCACATAGAGGTCGATCGTACCTGGCTCGCTGGCACACAGGCTACAGTGCAGGATATTCTCAGCAGGTCGAGCGATGATTATCCCAACGTTTTGCGCCCAGTATCCCGAGGTCATTACCACTCGCACACTTCTCCGCGCTTTACCCAGCATCAAGTTTAGTTGTCAGAGTACTACATCAATGCTTTGTACGCTATGGACATGCAGGAGAGGGTTAAGCTGTCTGGAGGCTTACCCATGGTGAATAGTCTGGCAGGTCTCGTATGTTCTAGAAACGGCGACACGAGCAGATTGCGCAAGGATGTTCCTTCGGCGGAGATGCTGGAAGCGGAGAAAATGGTGCTGGCGACGGACTGTCGGTTGGAGGAGGCAAAGGCAGCGCTGTGGACTGTGCGCGATGCGGACGTGGAGGAGAAGCTGCGCGCTATTCATGAGGCGGCTTATTTTTTTCGGGCGCTGGTTGGTACTTGCGGTGGTTAGAAAGGGGAGTAAAGGTGATTCGATGGGTTCTGTGACCGAACCTGTGCCAAAGGCTCCCGGTTTGGAATCATGGTTGGGAAGGTAGTTCATGATAAACTTGGGATGACGGCATGTGAGTTCGTAATGAATACGGATTGCCTACTGAATATCAGGATTTCCATTTTTGACGTGCAAAGGTTCATAGTGTCGATGAAATTTAAAATTCCTACTTTGCGAGAGTGTGATGGATGCAAGAGTGTAATGCAAGCAGCCATCCTCTCAAATCCTCTCAATCTGGAGTACATTCCCCTTTCCGTCAGTAGCCAGCCTCTTCTTAACCAACGACGCATTCCTCGGATTCGGAGCATTAAAAATATCGTCAATCTCCTCCAGCGTACGGTTTTTCGTCTCGGGAATGAACAACCAGACAACAAACGCCTGTACAGGACACCAGCAGACAAACACAATATACAGTTTCCAGCCAATCTTCTTTAGCGCAATTGGGTAAACAAACTGGTTGATCAACATGGCCGTGGTGAGCGAGAGGTTAGAGAAAGCCATGCCCTTTGCGCGAATCTCAAAGGAAAGTACTTCGACGGGATACAGAGCCTGCAGTGGTGTGATACCAAAAGCGAAGACGGCATTGAAGAGGAAGACTAGGGCGACAAAGGCATTGCCAGCGGCGGCGCTGTCCGTTTTGTTTTGGTAGGAAACAGCACCGATAGCGCCGGCCCAGATGAAGGTGATAGCGGAGAAGGTCCCGATCAGCATTGGGCGGCGACCGAGTTTGTCGACGGAAAGAGCACCCGCAATGGCCTACATGGGATTAGCACTCGGCCACATTGTTGGTAATTAGACTTACAAAGGCAAATTGCATGCAGCTTTTTCCCAGGTTAATGTTCATCTGCTCGATTTCTCCCGTTACGCCTGCCGACTCAAGAACACCGGAGATGAAGTAGTCGACAGCACTAATTGGCACCAATCAGCTTCGTTCCTTGCCACTAAAACTTCTGTTCAACTTACCCATTTCCCGCCCACTGCGCAAAGATAGCAACGACGCAGTTGCAGGCGAGGCGGTAGCGAGCTTGGCGGGTCTTGAAAAGGGAACGATAGTCCCACCAGCGCTTGTCACCACCATCCATGTTGAGATACTCCTCATACTCGCGAAGCTGCATGGATACCCAGATACTATCTTCATTACCACAACCATGGTACTTTGCGAGAATCTTCTTGGCCTGAGTGTATTTGCCGCGCGTGTACAGCCAGCGAGGAGATTCTGGTAGGAACCAGGGGATTATGGTGAGGATACCTGGGAAGAGCATTTGAAGCCAGACAGGAACCCTCCAGGACTGATTGCCGCCGAGACTGGCAGAGCCGCGGGTGACACCAGCTGCGAGAATCGATCCGACGAACCAGAAGGTGTTGTAGAGGCCAGTAATAACACCTCGGTGAGCTGGATGCGCAGTCTCGACGACAAACAAGGGTCCAGCGGTAGTCAGAATGGGTACAGCGAAGCCTAACAAGAATCTTCCGCCCATGACTTGATTGTGAAGTCCGGAGTCAGCAAACTTTTCGATACATTTCGTACATGGACGCTACTCACATTGACCCACAGGGTTGGAAGCAGGTGCAGTGGACTGGATGATAACACCAGCGCAACCAAGAGCCCCTCCAATCACCATACCAATCCTCCGGCCCCACGTATCACAAGCAGGGCCGATAAAAGGGAGTGCAACAACACCACCAATCTGGTACATGGAGGTCACGATACCGGCCCAGGCACCAGTACTTTCGACATCGTAGTAATCCTTGAACTGTTTACTCGTGAGAAGCGAGTTGAACATGGACCCATCGAAGCCATTACAGGTGGAGCAGAAGAAGCCGACAAAAGCACAGACGTAAAGCAGCATTGCAGATTTGGAAAAGCGCTGCACAGGCTCCTTCAACTTAGCTTCCACGATGGCTTCAGAGCCTGCGATGACTGCGACATTGGTCACGGCACCTTTGGGGTCCTGCTAATACGTAAGTCGACTGTTAAATGTCGTGCCTGGGGCTCACACGCACGCCATTCGAAGAATTTGTCGTGGTGAGATGAACCTCTTTGATGTCTGACATTGCTGTATTCAGGGGCACTCCAGACGAGTTGCTGCGAGGTAAGCTGCCAACTGGGACGCGACTGAACTATAAGACATGTTTTAGGAGCATGCAAATCACGTATAGAGGGCCAGAGTACCGGGTTGTGGGCCGCAATGACCCGCTGATGGTGCTCCCCCAGTGGCGTCGAGTAGGGGGGGTCGGTGTTCTAGAAATATGGTTTGGGTCGAGATGAGCACGGAACGTCATGGTCCGGGCCTAATTCGGGGCGGCTCCTGTCGCCTACGACATGCCCCTACCGTCCCGCTCATGTGCAGATGCGCCACAGTTTGCGAGATTGAGTACACTTGTTCAAGGAAGCTTGAAATTCTCCGTAGAGAGTATCGTTGGTGCTGCTGGTTACGCTGCGCAGCGTTTGCTACTACCCCTATGATGGAAAGCCGTGATCGGCATGACAGTCACTTGGCGATGCTGACGGCAATACTAGACAGTTGTGGGAGATTCCTCTGAACTTTGAAATCCGGATTGATATAACCCTGTCTACCAGGGATACCGCGTTCAACTTTGTTCTAGGCAGCGCTAAACCAATGACTAGGTCTTGATGTCAAGCAGATCAACCACGCAATCATGCCGGGCGTGTTTTAGTTTAGCAGCTACGGCAATACGGTAGTCCTGGATATTAATCAGCAGATAATCATCCAGCATGCACGTGCTTGGGGCTAGAAAGTGGATCGGAGGTGTCAATGCAGCATCTCCTATTGTCAGATTAGATGAGATATTGCACAAAAGTGATGGATGTTCATGATTGATTGTATTGTTCTCTGTTCTAAGGTGCGCGCTGAGAGTTTTGTTCTGCTAAGACGCTAACCCGTTATTAGCTAGCGGTGTCGGCACTTTCGGCTCGACACGCCTGCTATCTGACACCTATACTGAACACATGGTATAGGTGGAATGAGCAACCGCTGAGATGTAGCCATGTGTGAAGGAAGGCCTGCCGTTGACGATAATGCTTTCTGTCCGCGAATGAGCTAGAAGATTAGCTGCAGGTGTGTATGTAGTGCAACAGGAAGGCGCTTGCTGGGGGCTGGTGTCTGACCCCGCATGATGGCCATAGCCCAAGCGCCTCGATGCTGAGCACCCAGAGGAGAAACGGAGAGTGTGTTGGTTGTCGAAGGGAACGCTGTGGGGTGAGCGACGGGGAAAGCCTAAACTAGCTCTGGAGGGCGTAATCAAGGACGCTAAGTGGGCCTACCCCAGGTTATCTTCTGTGGGTCAGGAACTACGGAGGGGCTGTCCCCGTGTCGCGTTGGGCCATGTCGATATCTTGAAATGCTGTAAGCGTAACGCATGCATGGGCTGTAAGTTTACAGTGGGATATATGCCGACCTGTGATCAACGGCAGACCAGGCATCCTCGAATAAACCATGAGCTCACGACCAGGACCGAATCCTATAATCTTGGCGCGGGTGTGCATTTGAGATCTTACGGGAAACGTAGAATCTATACTAACAGGCGCACAGTTGAGGGCGGTCCCGTGAATATCCCTTAGATGACTTGCAAGTGAAGCCAAGCACAAGGAGGTAACAAAAGGTATGTTCTTTTGAGGGCTCCAATCCGGCTAACACTGCATTTGTACTGTATACAAGAATCCTCTAGTACTTGTCCTGTGTGTAATGCTGTCAAGTAATTCCTTTGTCACTGAGACCTGCATTATGGGCTTCCAACATGTGTAAACATGTGCTAAGCTGATAAGGTTACCACGACCGGATTCTTCTAGATGATTCTATTAGTAAGAAAGCTAACACTCCTACCTATATTTGACAGCCATATGGCCCCGCAGCAAAAGTCTGTACGGCAACCAGGCCTTCTGAGTGACCAGTAGTTCTTTGAAACCATTCATTGTAATGACTAACTACCGCACGCCATCATCTCCTGAATATGAGCGACAAGTTCATAATGACATCCATTCGTCCCAAGCACCCGATCTACCAGTCCTGCCACACAAATTGTAGCAGTCCAGAACTCGCGCGCCGGATCGCTAGGCTCTGTGTTGTTGAAGAGCAAATTCAGATCCTCAAGTCCTAGGTTGATTTCAGCTTCCTGCTGTGATTTCCAGCACCAGTGATCCAGCACAAGGCCACGGACATGGTCATCCTAGACCTGGACCGCAAAGCAGTATAGCTCTATGGCTGAGGCACCATCGCGAAAGATACGATTTGGCAGCTGGGCTATTTCTTTGAAGGAAACGCATTCTGCATAGCGTTCGATAAGTCCCAGTGGCCAACATTGAAGCTGCACCTGCGTACTAATGTTGTGATCTAACAGTTGTCGAAAGACAGAGGAGTTCATAAGGAGATCTTTGCGATTCGCGATTACAGATCCAATTTGGATTTGCTGGTTGTCATAGACATCTATGCTGACCTTCTCGGGAAGTGTGAACAATGCTTCATCGGCGTAGTTGTGAAGGTCAGCTAGATTGCGAACATGATCTGGTGGTATCCAGCCTCCAATCCAATCATTATATGAATCATTGGATCCGACACCGTCCTGTAGATCATTAGCCCGAAGAAAATTGTGATTCTGTTTAGGGTTGCCAAGTATGCCATCAGACTGAGCAAATGCGACGACAGCTTCTGGATAACGTTCCTTGACTTTTTTCGAATAGATGATTTTGGATGGATACGTTAGATGCTTTTCCATCCAAACAGCTCGTCCCTGTCGCACACGCTTTTCCATTGCTGCCGAAGCAATGGACTTGCCATACCGCTCGTTATACGCTTTTGCGATGGCTGACCATGGAAGCGGACCATGTGTTTCAGACACTGTACCGTACGGGTCGGGTTTATTGTTATCGCGTATGAGAATGATAAAGCCAGCTTGTTCTTCCCGCTCGCGTTTTAGTAAATCCTTGTCTTTTACGGGCATGGGACGGGGTGCTGAACGTTGTGAATGGACCGGGATATCTATTTCCATTTCTTCTATTTGCTTGTATTTTGACCCATCGTCGCTTTCTTGGTAGTCATCTGCGCTATCATCTGCCGCATCGACCACCGGTGGGCTGTACGCATAACGTGCCACAGCCAAGCCGTTTAGCTTAGCCATGGCGCTTTGTGATGCAGCTTCAACGTTGAAGTAGTGATTCATTGTGAGATGAGAATCGTTTATAACGATTGGTATGACGGTGATCCGAAAACGATAGGCGTGAAGAAAGTTGATAAGACGACAAAGGTCAATTCCCTGATCGTTCCGTTGTCACAACGCGAAGGGTATCGGTACTGTATGCCCACCCGGATAAAATCTCTATGTGTATTCATATTCATAGAAGAAGGTGAAGCGTCTCGCGACTCAGAGATGACTTTTTTGATTGCTCCATCGTTCTAGCCATAGGTCGAAGCAGACCACACGTGATGGAACGGGGGGTTTAAAGGAAGACGCACAGCTGGGTAAAAGTACGTTTCATTAGTATTGTATCGTTCCGAAGAGAATTTCGTTCGTTGATCGCGCTTACAGACAGGTCGCAGGTCGGAGGTTAGTTGGAGTTTGGAAGAGGAAACCTGGATGAAGATGAGTCGTGTCATGTGCTTATCGATAGTTAGCCGCTTCAGCATCATTGGCGCGCTGCAGTCAACCCTCAATCCACGAACATGTGAGGCACGCGTCGACACTACGCGCTGCGCAAACCATGTACCACCTCTTCAAGTCGATATATCTGCATGCGACAAGTAAAGAAGGCACGTGACGTCATTTTACAGCCGAAACATGTCCAGGCCCAAATGACCACCTAGTCGATATGCGCTTACGTCCCCATCTAACAACCGACAGAGTATTCCGTTCTACTCCTTGGTCTCGACAATGCCGGCAAAACCACGCTCCTCGAACAGATAAAAGGCACATATACGCCCTCGCATCCCAACCTAAAAACCGTCCCCACTGTCGGGCAGAATGTGGCTACAATCGCGCTTCCGCCGCCAAACCCGCCCATCTACCTCAAGATATGGGATGTCGGCGGCCAACATAGCTTGCGCGGGCTCTGGCAATCATACTACAGTAGCTGCCATGCCATCGTTTTCGTAATAGACAGCAGCGATGTTGGCAACGCGACACTAGCAGATATGAGCGCCAGCAACGCAGCGAGCAACGAGGACATTGGGCGACTGGACGAGTGCAAGCTGGTCTTGGAGAGCGTGCTGGCAAGCGAAGATGCCAGTGGCGTGCCGATATTGATATTAGCAAATAAACAAGATCGCGAGGATTGTGTCGAGGTCGTGCGGATCAAAGAAGGCTTTGTTCGGAGGGTGTTTGAAGGAGAAAAGGGTGGAAACGTAAGAGATAGCAGAGTGCTACCGTGTAGTGCGCTCACGGGTACCGGTGTACAAGAGGCAGTTGAATGGCTATGTAGCAGGATGGCGTTCAACAAAGAGGCAAGGCCACCCGTTATGCGATAGTTGTCGACGCGGCAGTGTCAGAAATATACCCCATGTTTTCGCGTCCTGCACCCGGTTGTTACTTTCGATCTGCATTCTATGCAACAAGATTGTTTGAATATCGCTTTCTAATCTCACATGCAAAAGCACATGCGGATCGGCGAACTCTGCTAGGCCCGCCACGCTTTGGGTGGCATGGTCCTTTCTCCTACCTCAGGTTGTTGTTGATGTTGATTATGGTTTAACGCCCTATCTGTAACCTCCCATAGGGTATTCGGGCGGGTCCCGCCGTGGTCTTATAGTGCTGTCGCACTTGCCTCGTGGAACCTATTCCTAGGTGTTTTGTATCTAAGGGGAGTGATGTCCTGCCTATATACATGTTCGTGAAAAGGACTCCCGCCATTTGAAGCCGTTTTCCTACAATATTCTAGTATTTCGTGGCTTGCGCCTTTGATCGATGCAGTACAATGACTGCTTTTTAGAGAGAGAAACGAAAAAGTAACAAGAGGCAGTTTGAAATATAATGAAAAGTTTGAAAGAGAGCGTGTGGGTTGTGGCATCTATGCGGCGTTCTGCCGCGAATCCTACACTGAATAATGCCAAGGAATTCAGCGGGTCTTTGTGAAATTCAAAAATAGAAATCACTCGTTATAGAAGGAGTTCGTTACCTTAACGAAGGTCTCGAACTCTTGTGGCTGGTCTATTAATTGCGCGAGGTACGCTAGGCCTTCCTGTCTTGTGCGAGGGGGCACGATGGGGCGTAGAGGCCACTTCTTGAAGTGTGTTGTGGCTCTCTTGCAGAACACTAGGTGTTCTGGCGTCTTGGGCCTGCCGCATAGGCATTTCGAGGTATCCTCGTGGTTGAATTTTCGGTGGTACCATTCAAAGTCGCCATGCGTTGAGCGTATCATAAGGACTTTCGCGAGTATCCTTCGGGGTAGCCATAGCGCTGCGGGCGTGCGCCTAGTATCGTATGGCAGCTGCCATTGCGTGTACCATGCTGATAGCCTACTGCTCTTATCCTGCCACCCAGACTTTCCAACAAGCAAGTAAAGCAAGTCACCGCTCTAAACTTGACTTGCTTGGTTCAAACATAGGCTTTACTTGACTTGCTTGGGGTGATTTTTTTACTTGCTTGACTTGCTTGTATTACTTGCAAGTACTTGGATTACTTGACTACTACAAAGAGATTAAGCTACATACAAATTACCAAAACTCAGTGTTCCACTCTAGTATGTTGTAATCTCCTACAAGCTGCTCATCTGAAAGCTTAGCCTCGCTACAGTTGTACGGTTTATAACCAGCTCGCACCCATGACCTTACTAATTGAAGAGCTGCGAGTAGCTCACTGCCCAGAGCACGTCGCTTAGGTTCAAGAAGGTCGCCAAGCTCACTGAAGAGGCGCTCACAGTCGCTGCTTGATGCTGGGATAGTCATGATATCGATTGCAAACTGCGCTAAATGCGGGTATTTCGGCAGTAGTTGTATCCAGTATTGGACAGGATTTCCATCTGCGTTGTACTGCTCCTGCGTCCACTGCGGCTCTTGTGTTTTCCAGCGCTCAAACTCGTCAAGTGGAGCCTCTCGGTCATTGTTGCGGCTAAGTATAGCAATAATTGCCTCGTCTATGTTGTTGCTACTCGGCGCAGTTGTATACCGCTGGCGTGCTCGTTGAGGTTTGTATGCCGCCCAAAGCTGTTGGAACGACGCGTTGGCACTAGTAAGCCAATCAGCTTTGTCTGCCCACGCCACATCGCAGTAGTTCTTGTAGTACGGGTGTAGGCAAACAGCGGCGTAGTAAGCGGGCGAGTCGTCGAGCTTGTTGTAGTAGTCGTTGGCTTTGCTCCACGCGGCGCGGAGGTTGACGTTGAGGTGATCCTCTGGAGCCCGTGCATGAGCGTTGAAGTCGACGTGCTCGAACGGGCGCGCCCGGGCCTCAAGCTTGCTGAGTACGTACTCAAAAACGGGTATAACCTCATAGATTGCGCCGTATTTGCCATCCTTAGAGCGTCCCTCGAGGCGTTTTGTGGCGTACTTGAGCGGCTCTAAGCAGTCCTGGTACTCTGCAATCACCGCCCAGTCAGCAGCTCGGAGCCCAGTTGATCTCATCCAGTTTGGGGCGTCGGGCCGCTTATTATTCCGCTGCGCAGCGTGCGCATCTTCAAGGATAACCCTATTGATATGATGCTCAGCGTACAAGTTATACGCGGCTTGAAGCTTGGTAGCGCGCTCAAAAGCAGCATAGTATGAGTTCCAGCGAGTGACGACAGGCTTGACTGGCTCGAGTACTTTGAGACGCCCTTCAGCAGGCAGGTTGTTGTTGGCAAGGCGCTGGTAGCCACGAAAAAGCTCGTACTGTTGCGGCGTTTTGATATAGTTGATGACGTCAACTAGCACTCCAATAGGGCCATCTTTCCGCCACTCTCGCATATACTGCTCCTCGGTATTGTACTGCTCTTGAGTGTTGCCGTAGGCGTCTTTGTTGGTGCCAAATATAATAGCCTGGCCGATGAGGTTAAGCGTGTGACAACTGCAGCGGAGGCGCCGGTGAGCGGACTCAAATTCGTACTCGCGCGCGAGCGCGGCGATCGCAGTGTCGTTGTTGGTAGCGTTGTCGAGTACAAAATAGCCTAATCGGTCGCTTGTTATTCCGTATGCTGAGAGCGTCGTCGAGATAGCTTTGGCAATAGCCTCACCGGTGTGGGCGCCAGCGAGCTCAGGCAGATCGATTGGTAAGTCTCGTATTATTCCAGCTGCGTCGGCAAAGTGAGCGACTACTCCAAAGAAGCCACGTTTACCACCCTTTGTTGTCCAGCCATCAAAGCTTACGTGTATTTTGCTTACTGAGCCTGACAGGGTGTCGATAACTTGCGGTCGTATAGACCGGAACAACCTCATCACAAAGGTAGAAACGCTGGTATTACTTACCCACAACGCTGCCTCTGCCTCTGGGTTGGCAAATCTCATCATCTCTCTAAAATCAGGCGTCGTAAGTTCGCTGAGCGGGTGGTTTCGGTTAACAAGCCACATGACAGTGGCTGTTCGAAAGCCCTCTACGTCGAAGTTTCCAAACGCGTTAGCAGTGTTTTGTTGTACGTCTAAACCAGCGTCAAAAGCTTGCCGCAACGACAGCTGGCCTCGAGCTCTCTGCGCTAACTTTGGGCCATCTTTCGTAAGGTTGTGGCCAGGCTTTGGTTGGCTGAGATGGGTGGCTGCTGAGGTTGTAGCCTGAGTAATGTTAAACAAACCACCACGGCCAGCGTCGATAGTTTTGTGTACATGGCAGTACTTGCACACAAACCAGATTCGAGATGTAGCATGGCGCTCAACAACGCGGTAGCCATACTGAAAGATCCAACTTTTTGGGCGCTTAGAACGCGCCAATGGCTTGATAAAATCAGGTAAACGTGCCCAGTCAATGCCGTCAAAGTTCTCAACTAGTGCGCTGTTTGTCTCATCCTGACCACCCTCTCCAGCCTCAGTTGTAGCCACCGTGCCAGCTCGGCTGCCCTCGGTGGGCGCGACAATCTCAGCCTCCGCCTGCGACTCTAAGAACTGCAACTCGAAGGTAGGTATTGGCGGCGAGGCGTTAGCCTGGCTTGCGGCAGCTAGGGTTTTGCGAGGTGATCGACGCTGAGGTCTAGGCTTAGATGCAGGCTTAGATGCAGGCTCAGGTGAAGCCTCAGGAGTTGAGGCGACGTTGTTGGTGGCAGCGGCTACTTTCGTACGTTTGCTCCGAGCAGAAGTTTGTGGTAGGCGACGTTTGGCCATATTGGGGGTATCAGGGCAGTATAAATCACTGGAAAACGCGTTGCTATAGGGGATACTGCATTGCGATAGGCTTCTAGACAGGCGTACGTCGAGATTGGAGCAATGCGCTAGACTAAGGCTAACGTTATTTGATAGCCGCTTAGCCTGTTTGGGACTCAACCGAGGCAACTGCAACACTTCAAAACCATCGCGACATCTACCGTACAGCAGTTTTAGCACCCTCATCACAGTAACGCTAAAACAACCAAGTAAACCAAGTAAGCCAAGCAAGCAAAGTATCTTGACTTGACTTGCTTGCTTAGCTGCCCAGCTCTTACTTGACTTGCTTGCTTGGTTTAAACCAAGCAAGTCAAGCAAGTAATCCAAGTCAACTTGCTTTTTGGAAAGTCTGCTGCCACCAAGTGTCCCTTGTATGTTCGAGGAGGCGGCGGCCTACTGTTCGTATACCGGATCTTGTGGGGGAGGCGGCCATGCCGTATGGCTGGTGCGGGTCTTTGGCCTCGCTGTCAGCCAGCTGGTCGGCGAGCTCGTTTCCAACAATCTTCATGTGTCCCGGCGCCCACCGCGTTTTCACGTTGTAGGCCTCCATAGCTCCATGGATTTGGAGGAACGCCCATTGGGAGGAGGTAGGGGCGGTTCCGCGTATGCCCCATATTACCGAAGTGCTGTCTATGCAAAGTACGATCTCCCTCTGGCTAGGCAGTGAGAGTTGTAGTGCGTGTTTGAGTCCTCTGCACGCGCCTATAGCCTCCGCATCGAAGACGTGGCTAAGGGCATTTAGTGAGCCTTGTCCAGTCGCCACGGCGGCCTGGCCCTGGTATATAGCGTACCCGTAAGTGACCACCCTTGTACCGTTGATTTGTTGTTCAGACCCGTCTGAGAAGACAGTGATTGTCTCTTGTCCAAGAGACTCCCACCAGATGGTGAAATTCTGGGCAGCAATGTCCTTTCCTTGCCCTTGCGTTGGATCCTGCCTCGACCCGTCTGAAAAGTGAGGGCTGGCTAGGACGTTTCGGGGTGTGGCGGGTAGCAGTTGTGCTACGCGCTGAACCTTCGATCTTGGTATCCGTCGGTTGCCCGCTGCGCGTCCTCGTATGACTAGTGGCAGTGTAGTTCTATTAGTAAGTGGGTGCTTGTCGTCTATTGTGCGTAGGTGAACTGCAAAGCGGAGCTTGGCCTCCTCTAGCGCCACCTGTGCCGACGGCATCGCAGCTTCTCTTAGCAGTACTGCGTTTGGTGTTGTCCTCCACGCAGGGAGGATTGCCTTCGTGGCTGCTATTAGTGCCTGATCTATCGTGGTTAGGTGCCAGCCTACCCTAGTGCTGACCGTGGGTTTACGGGAAACCCTTGCAATTCGTGGGTTCTTCGTCCTGCCCTCGTACCATGTTTCGGCTCCGTATAGTAGTATGGGCAGGATACATGTTATGGCTGCCTTGCGTAGCGATCCTGCTGGAGGGCCGTGGGCTGTGTTGGCGAGGCTCCGGAGATGGTTCGCTACTTTCCTAGCTTGCGCCGCCCTTTCTGCGACGTGCTTCTTGAAAGTTAGTCCCCTATCAAACCACACCCCAAGCCAGCGCAGCGCTGTCTGGCTTCCCCCCTGCGCAGGGGCTATAGGGTGAATTGTTTGATCTTCCAATTGGATTGGCGGCGCATGTAGTCCTTTCTGGCGCGTGAGGTGGATCAGCTCCCGTTTCTCTGGTGCAAACGTGATCTTGTTCGCAGCTCCCCATTCATTGATAGATTTGAGGTCCTCTGCTAGCAGTGCGACGTTCTCGTCTAAAGAGTGGGAGACCCGGTATAGGTTGATGTCGTCGGCATACCCGAACCGGAGTTTTCGGTCCTGGTTGAGTAGTTCAGCTAGGTATAGGGTGTATAGGACCGGTGATAGCGGCGATCCCTGCGGGGTGCCGCAGGCCACTCGATGTACAGGTGTAGTGACATTGCCTAGGCGTACTCGCACCCTCCTTTCCGACAGGAAGTTCTGGATAAATTTCCGGAGTAGGGGTGGCCACCCTTGTTGCCGCATTCGGTGTAGTAGCCTGTTTTTCAGTAGCGCGTCAAACGCCCCTTGGACGTCTAACGTGAGCATAGAGACATGCTCGTGTCTTGACCAAGCCATCTCCACGTCGTGTGTGAATGCGGTCGCCAGGTCCATCGCAGAGCGTTTTGGCAGCGCTCCACCGTGCTGTGGGCTTAGGATGTCAAAAGCCATAGCTGTGTGTGCTATGCGCCTTGCTATGATACGCTCGAGTCCCTTCCCTAGACAGGACGATAGGGCAATTGGTCTCATTGATCTGGGTGAGGACTTATCCTTCTTCCCGACTTTGGGTATCATGGCCACTTCTACCGTCTTCCAGGCGGCTGGGTAGTGGCCTTGTTCCATGCACGCCCGGTAGATGCCTAGCACTAGGTGTCTAATGTGTTCCCAGCATGCCTTTAGGAGTCGGACGGTCACCTGATCGGGTCCTGGGGAGGTGCTAGATACTCCAATCACGTAGCGTTCAGTCTCCTCCATCGATATGTATGTGTCCCATGGTAGTGGCGTGGTTTGCGGGTCGTTGTCAAGAGGCGGTGGTTCTAGGAGGTCGTCCTCCGCCGAAAAACGGTCGAGGATTGCCTCTCTAAGTGCCTCAGCTTTCTCGAGTGGTGCTGTGATTGTCCTACCTTCGATTACAAGTGGGGTGTCCCGTTGGTCGAATGATAGTTTATGCCAGCCTACTAGCTTGTATAGATCTTTGTCGTTATTACAGCCGTCTATGCGCTGCTGCCAGTACGTTCTCTTGGCTTTTCGTACCGTAGCTAGGAACGCACGGGTGGCTTCTGAGGGGGATTGGCCATAGTCCGACTTTTCCTGGATATGCCGCTTATACGCCACTCTACAGTCCTCTGTCCACCATGGGGCGGAGTGGCCTTTTTCTCTATTTGGTGTTCCCGCCGCGTGCATTGCATCTCCTATAGCTTGGGTGATTCTAGCTATGCTTGCGTCGATTACGTCCGCTGGGGCGCTATTGCTAATTGGCTGTACGCCTACTGTGTAGAGTTGAACTAGCCCGGCAAACCTATCTATGTTTCTCTCGTGGACCCGGTAGTGATGCTGTTCTAGCACCGCTCTCCCTCGGCTTGGAAGGACAGTCACTAGGGTGAAATGGTCTGACCCTGTATACATATCTTCGCGGACTGTCGTTCTAGCGAAGGGTATATTTAAGAAGGATACGTCTAGCACGTGTCCCGCCCGATGTGTTGGGTTACCTGCCTCGCCGATGTAGGGTATGTCGTTCTGAGTGGCCCAGCGGGCGATCTCTGCCCCCCTATTGGCCGACGTGGAGCCGGGCTCAAAAAGTTCATGGCGGGCGTTTAAGTCACCCCCTATAAGGCAGTTACGGGGTGGCGTTAAAGCTGTGAGGTATTGAAATGTCGAGTCATTCTGTGGCTGCCTATAAACATTCAATATGCGGTAGCCGTTGGCCTCGATCCATAGCACATCCCGGCTGATGCGTGGGTGTATAAGAGTAGCCCTTATATTTGGGCTCTTACGGGTATAGGTGAGCACCCGTGGTCGGTCAGTTCCCCACGTTGTGGGGTTGTTCCAGCTTATCACTGGCGATATCATATGGAATCCTGGGTGTGTAGAGGTCCGGGTTCCAGTGAGAGTAAAGGGTTCTTGGATGCATACTATGTCTATGTCTGCTTCCCATGCACGTTCTAAGGCTGTAATGTGGCAAGGCGAGCTTCTGGCCACATTCACCCAGCATACCTGCATTTGTCTGTGTCGGTGTGGCGTGGTTTCGCCGGGTGAATTTGCGGGTTGTGCCCTCATTACGCACTAGATCCGAGGCTCATTTCAGTGTCAGCGTGCTCAGACGATGACGTATTAGGGTCTTGGTCAGCGGTGCTAGGCTGCACGCTTCTAGCAGACATTCGCGCTAGGTTGAGGTCTTGCGTAGTTGCAGCTGTTCTCTTAGACCTCCTAGTCCCTAGGGTGGTTGCGGGCTCTCTAACAGTGGCTGTGTTTAGGTTGTTTACGTCTTGTCGGCTTCTTTTACTTGCGTCCGTAGGTGTTCCCACAGGCTCAGTAGTATTAGCTATGTCGCCGTCCGTGATTTCAATGGAGGTTTCGACCGTGCTGCCTGTCTGTCTTCCTCTAGCTGGCTGCATTGCCTCAGAAGCACGGTCACCCGCCTCCCTAATGACTTTTAGTTCCCCCTTTGTGGGTTGGATGAGTCGGCCGTTCGCCCTCGTTGGGGCTGCTGGGCACTTGTCGTGGGTTGCTGGAAATGGGCCGTGGCAGTTGGCGCACTTTGGTGTGTCTTTGCATTGTTCTCCGTGTGGTCCCTGGTGAGTTGCCGTTGTTTTGCTGCATGTCGTGCAGCGGGCTGGCCTTGTGCAGCGGCTGGTTTTGCAGTACCCTAGGCAGCCTGGGTCGTGCAGCATTGCAGGTGAGTTCTTCTTTATCTCGTGCGCGTAGTCGCCCGTCCCAAATAGGCGAAACGATCGTACGGGTCTGGTGAAAGATATAATCCAGGTTGTCCTTCCCTCCGTGGGTCCATGTCTGGAGGGCCGGCAGCTCGCTGGTTCGATCCCTGTCTGGGACAGAGCTTCGCTGACTATATCGTCTATTGTGGTGGGTATACTTTCCCCTGTGATAGTGCGGTATGAGCTTTCTACGCCCTGGACTGCATAGTTCACCCATCGTTCAGGTAGTCTTGCGCTCTCGCCCTCTACCGCTCGGATCATAAGTTCGCGATTCTCCTGCCCCATAAGCAGGGCCTTAATTTTGTCGTTGCGGGGCGTAATCGCCCAGCCCTGGGGCAGCTGGTGCAGCCCCTGAGGACTCCTTAGCACCTGTAACAGCAACAACGCGTTTCTGACGCTTCTGCTTTTGAGTAGAGCTTTGTGAGGCCTTGCGCTTACTGTTTTGGGCTTGTTGAATAGCCTTTTGTGAGTCGCGAGCTGCTTTTTCACGTGCCCGTTCAGCCATCTTTTCAGCCTTCTCCTTCTCGCGCACCTCCCTGAGTCTCTCCCGCTCCACACGCTTCTCCTGAGCTACTTGAAGTTTGTATAACCTAGCCTGCTCTTTCAATTCTAATCTACGAGCTTTTTGGAGTTGTGTCTCGTCTTTCTCACGTTCTTCTACTACCCTACGTTCCCGGGCTTGGCGAAGTTTCCTTGGCGACCAGAAAACAGCTCCTCCATGATACCCATCCTGATTAGTTTGAAGATCTAAGGGGTAGCTCTTCTTCTTCTGCTTCTTCTTGGTACTCAGAGCCTCCTTTAGTCCCTTCATCTCATGGCGGAGTAGCTCGTTTTGGGTTGAGATGTGATAGAGTGATCTGTGTAGTTTCTTCACCTCCTTACTTGTTCTATCAGCTGCTGTTTGATTAACTAGAGCCTTGATTTTACGCCAGTCTGATCCACTAAGTACAGAAGCTGAGCTCTCATCTGAGCTTGATACCTTAGGGGTGTTGCGGTTGAATCTTTTAAGTATAGGGGTTGGATCGGGCGGCCAGATCCCTGTGGCCATGAAGGACTTTTGGATAGTGTTTTTCTTAAAGGAGGACACCCAGGCTCTCCAGAAAAGGGGGAAGAAGTCTCCTTTCTTAACTGATAGAAGCCCCTGGCTGTTGTGAAGGTAGTTAGATAGCTCCTTTAAGTACGCAGTTGAGAGAGGTTTAAACATTACAACATCTAATGGCTGAAGGGTATAGGTTGAATGGGGGGAAATATAGCCACAAGAATCTTATTTTGATCGCAGGATTCAAGAAACTCCTGAGTTACATGAGATCCATGGCCATCTAGGA